TTTAGGGTAGCCCTTGTCAGATCCTGATAAAAGGATAGTTGTGCTTCCTCGAACAACAGCGGTGACTTGCCCCTGAGAGCCGCCATGATGTGCCCCTTGTCCTGTGATGAGATGCAGTGCAGGTTAACATTGCTGGCTGTTTTTGGTGATGGTTGGACAGGGCCAGCGACCCAATAGATGCCATCAATGGTATAAGGCAGGAGGCAGTGTAGTCGCCAGTATCCTCCTCACATAGTGCAGTAACTCTTCTGTTGCAATAGCTGCGGTGATTCTGAACAGTGTTGAATCTGAATCACCCTTCCATAGCTGCCATTTGCTGTGAAAGGGTGTGTTGCACCTTTTATAGCTGGTTCATGGAGCTGTGTGTATTGGAAAGGCCGAAATTCACCTCCACTATATCTTCCTCCGTGGCCCGCACACGGTCGTTGGTGGTTTATATGTCCATCTTGAGGATCGCCAGTTCTGAGGTAAGCATTTTATGAAAATCTTGCAAAAGAACTTTCAAGTCACGTTTTGTTGTGGGAGCTGAGACCTTCCGGGGATCAGTACTGGCTGGTTGTGTGTTGTGGGAGTTATACTGCTCTTGTTGATCGGGTTGTGCGGGTACTTCCCTTGTAGTCAGGGCCTTTGCCGACATCTACACCAGCCACGCTGGTCGTTGAAGCGTGACTCCAATGTCCCTGCCTTCTGCTGGGGTGTGGTTTCACAAGCTGTGAACTGGTTATGTGGTAGGGTACGTATGCTCCACCGTGGAAATATTCCAGGTCAGCAGGGTCTGCGTAATGTAGGCCCCAGGCTTGCGTCTCCGTTTGGGCACTTTGGTGTTTTGAAATCAATGCATCTGTGTCCCCTGATTCTTTTGGGGGATCGTAGGAGTTTGGAACGGGTGTTGGGAGAAAGATTTAGGCGAGATTGCAAGGTTTTGCTCAGGACTTACCATGTATGGCATCTGGTTAGCTCGGCTGCTGGCTCCGCCCCCATTAATTATTTTTTAATCAGACTTAGACTAACCCTTTAAGGGATAGTTCCATTAAAGGTGTGTGGACTTTAGTACCTTTAGTTCTCATCTTTCTTTGCCATAAACAAAAAACAAATATCTAGATTATCACCAATTTACCATCCAATCACAGAGTCCTCTATCACAGAGTGCATGCAGAGATATAAAATTACAGCAAATGATACACCGCTTTACCTTGCACTGTAATTACACACAACATTATAAAGAGTGTAATGATGATACTGTGCTCTTCTGAATACTTGGCCACATTGTGGCTATAGTAGTGGTTTTAGAGCAGGCACTTCAGAATATCTACCTAGGGGTTTTCATACACACATCTTATCACTAATCTCTGACAAATACCTATTTTACTAATACAGCAGAGTATCCACATGTATTGATTTTGTTGATTAATTGAGACATTCCGAGTCCAAAATAATAACCTGCCCATTTAAAAGTTATTTAATTTTGCATAATTGATTTACTGAACCCATGTCAAATAAAGGGAAGATGTGCTAGCACCAAATTAAAATATCCCTTATTGTAGCAAATAGTCTACAAGCAAAGTCACAATAACATGTTTCACATTGTGTATTTTGAACATTTTCATGAGGCAAATTTAATATCACATTCTATCAAAAATAGTGGTACATTTTATTCTATATTTTTCACATACATTTAACTTCCCAGTCCTCATATGCACTAGAGAGTTCCTACTTAGGCTTATTGTCTGGGGGAACAAACCCTACTTTATACCTTTGTTTTGGAAGTTATACATTTAAATTATAGATGCTGAGGTTTTGACATGCCTTCCAGAGTTTGGGCCAATGCGTCAATAGCAAAAAAGTTGGATTAGATAGTTGTTTTAAGTGGAAAACATGAGGTAAGGATGAACAAAAAAAGATAGCTTATATTACGAAGTCTAAGTTTTGAAATAGACTACTTTCGACACCCAGAAATAACAACAATTCTAGTTTGTCTGAATCCTGTTTTTTTCTGTTTGCTTTTTTTTTTTTTTTAAATAATAACATTGAAGTTGAACATTGACCTTTGTGGAGAATTCCACTATCATTCTCTGATCCATGTTGTGATTACACAATATTGCTACTAACTTGACTTCACCTCTTTTGGACTTTACCATCTTATGCCTGAATGAATGTTTGAACTATTCCAGGAGTAGATCCAAGTGTTCTGCATTACCAAGCGATATGGGGCATTGATACAAGACAATTAATAATCTTACGCTATGCTGTATTAACCCACTACATTGTAACTTTGTACCAACAGCAATAACACCACCATGCACTGTATAAGTAACTTCAAATGTGGTGCATTGAAGCGGCATTGCAGCAAATGATGTATTTGGAGGTGTTATTTTCATTATTCTAACTATGGGATAGCAATGAAATGGCACCAAAATTAGACCCAGCGATGTAAAACATTGCTGTTTCCTGAAATGTCAGATTGACACATTCTTCTTAAGACATTTACATATCATGATGATGCCATATGTGTTTGATCTTCTCGTAGCATTGGATTGGCAGAATGCTGCAATTGTGGAACGACCTCCCGCACAATTTAAAATCTTCCCTAAGCCTAAAGTCATTTAAGAGATCCCTCTCTACATACCTCAAAACAGAATGCACGTGTCATGGTTGATTATATATTTCCTGCCTGTTCCATGTTAAATTTTGTATATATTGTGTATTAATATTGTTTTTGTATTTTGTTGTACCTAATGTAACAATGCAATGATTTGTGGACCCAGGACATACTTGAAAACGAGAGAAATCTCAATGTATCTTTCCTGGTAAAATATTTTATAAATAATAAATAATAATAATTGCCACACATGCTCTTAAGGTTCCCAGTTGTTTTTAATTTTAAAGGAAGCTCTTGCACCTAAATCATTAAAGCAACATGCAAACATATAGAAATAAATATATTTGTAAGGATTTAGTCTTTTTTTTTAATGCACTGAAATAATTAAATATTTCAGAAGTCTACGTAGACACAGGAGTGATGGAGTTGGGTGGGCAATATACTTTCTCTTTGTCGGAATCCATCAAAGGTGATAAATCAGTTCGGAAAATGTGGGTTTGTAGCTTCTGCCCACTAATAAAGCACTATGATAGCTATGAGAGCTAGTAACCACAATAACACACATTAATTGTCTAATAGGAATGCATTAATAATACACGATCTACATCTATTGTGTATATTTGCATATTAGCTATAAATTACAGTGTTGCCCACCTTACTGCAGAAGTTAATTTACCTTGCCATAAGTGTCATAGAGTATTGTGCTGCCTTGTAAAAGATTTCCAACCAGAGGCAATGGAGTTGGGCCTGGTGGTAAACATAGACGTTTCTTGTACATCTTCAAGGTGGAGAACAAAAGTGAGATGAGGATGAATAGGGAAAGAGCAAGAGTGAATGTATCCATGTTTTAGGCTGAGATTACAAGTCTAAAGTACTGATGGTACACTGGAATGACAACATTTATATCTTATGTAGGTTAAGTTTTTGTTAATATTTATATTTGAGTTAAGCATTAACTTTTACTGAGTATTCCAGTGCCATTCTCTGACTTATTTACAACTTCTAAATTTACCTGGCTGAACATTTAGGTATAAGTTCAACGTTCCACACTGAGCTTGTTTCTGTCTCTCTCTCTCTCTCTCTCTCTCTCTCTCTCTCTCCTCCAGCATGCATCCTCTCTATGTTGGGGAACCACAACAGATTTACCAGGGCTGCCTGATGCAGTCAAAGCTCAATAGTGTTTGATTATGACTTTTTCAAACCACACCCAGCATTTGATCCGCTGTATGCTACTAGTGAGTGATCAGTGATTGTTCATGTAATACCGGGAGCCAGACACTACAGTTGCTCTCACCCAAAAGGTTTCTAAGGTTCGGTCCTCCCCCAATAACAGCAGGTAGCTTTAACCAGCAAGGGTGATGCTAAAGCAAGCTGTGTTTTAGCCTGTGGCAGTCTCAGAGATTGACTTGCTCTATTCTCAACACCAGACAGGTTCTGGCAAACCATAAAGTGTGTTTTTTTGCAGCACACTAGGTGTAACACTTCCTCAATGGTGCCCACTGTGTGCGTTCCAGGAAATAGTCCATACCAGACAGAGTAATAAGACTATCTGTCCACTAAGTCTCTGAGTTCTCTTTACAGGGCACCCAGCAAAGTCTGTATAACGGATCACCTGGCACCACGACTGGGTAACTCCGTTGAAGAATGCTCCTAGCGCTTCCTAAGGGACTCCAAGCACTGCAGCAGACACCATAACCACCGTAGACTCCTCCAGAGAGCAAGGCAGGAACAAGCTCTTACAAGAGCTTAGTAGTATGACAAGCATAGAAATCCCTTGTAGCAGATTTCCCCAATAAAAGACGGCACTCCAAATTGAGGGTGAAGTAGAACTGCCAGAGCTATGGGTTTATTGTTCTTATATACACATTCTTACACATTAGTACCACCCACAAGGTTTTGTAAAACAACCAATAAACACGTACAATACACTCAGACACTCCCACACAAAATCCTCCCCTCTGCTTGTGATACAATTACCTTACACAATGGATTAATGTAATTATCACATGCAGGAAAATACAGTTACAATACTCATAACTTTAAAAGTATGCATCACATTCACATAATCAGCATACTCCAAATACAAACATACATCAAAATCATACAAATTGGTCCAGTGGGTCATAAGTTAGATCGAAGTCCTTTGTGACCAAATGAAGCATGGCTTTTCTGCCCAAAACAGAGTCTTCTATTCTGGAGATAATTGGGAAGTAATCCAATTATCTCCAAGGACAGAGGCAAAACTCCATTAGCCACATGGTAGCAAAAGACAATTAAATACATAAATATATATATAACTTTGCAGCTATTGCATAAAACAGGTACATTCAACATATCCCCAGATAGCTTAGATCTGAGCGCATTATTACTGAATGGCGCTCAGATCACATACATACATACAGTTCAATTGCCATGGAGCCAAAGTCTTTCACATAGTCTTTCTTTATACGAATGGGCTCCATGGCATAGCTATCTGGGGTATCACTGTTCAAGTCGGACTTCCAGCCGGCAGGTGGAGATTGGACCAAGGTCTCCCCGCCGGCCCTACAGGGATGCTGGGCAGCCGGCCCAGATCCCTAGCCACAGCCGTAGGTACCGGGAGTAGGGACAGTCGGTCCTAGTCCCCAGCAGCAGTGTATCCTATAGGGAGTGGAGACAATCGGTCTTACTATCCAGCAGAAGTGTGCAGTACAGGGAGCAGAGGGTGTCATCCTTCCTCCCCAGTGGCAGAGTGTGTTATTGGGAGAAGAGACAGTTGGTCTCTCTCCCCAGCGGCAGACAGATTCACAGGTAGAGGAGAGTATCGTCCTCCATCCCCAGCAGCAGTGTGTGTTCCAGGGAGCGGAGATGGTGGGTCCCTCTCCCCAGCAGCAGTATGCATTACGGGGAGAGGAGCATATCATCCTCTCTCTCCAGCGGCAGATAGAGTTACATGGAGTGGAGACGGTCAGTCTCACTCCCCAGCGGCAGTGTGCAACACAGGGAGTGAAGACAGCTGGTCTCCCTCCCCAGCAGCAGCTGGATATACTGGAAGAGGAGACAGCTGGTCACTATAACCAATTACTGGGGGACAGCATCCCTGACCTCAATTGTGCAGCTGGGACTGCACCAGACTTACAGGGATATCGGACTGCCGGTCCAGATCCCCAACCAACCCCACAGGAATACCAGGAGAAGAAAGTAGGTGATCTCTCCTCTCCACAGCCAATTCCCAAACGGGTTAGTGGATGAGACTGCAACACCCACTGACCCCCTTGGCCTCTGCCCTACCTGCCCCCTTGTTACAGGGCAAGACTATGTACCAGTTATCCCAGCGGAAGAGCTGGCACCCGGGCAGAGAGCAGTTGGCCTCTGCCCTCCCCTTTCCCTTTGTCCAGGGCCTGAATACCCAGAGACCACCCCAGCAGAAGTGCTGACAACAGGGCAGAGCGCAGCTGGCCTCTTCCCTCCTCCTGTCCTCAGTCCAGGACCAGACGACCTTCTGACTTTAAAAATAAATAAATTATTTTTGCAGTGCATATGGGTGTAACAAACATGCATGTGGTACCCCAACTGCAGTCCACTTGTTTATTTCAAAACAATGATAGCAGTGGGGCATTTGATAACAGTGCACAAATGTTTTATACTTAAGTTGAAGGTAGTCAGGTTTGGAGCATACTTTTCATATATAGTAGTCGTTGATACAAACAGGTATAATGCAAGCTACCAGTCTCACCTGTACGTGAGAAGGTATACATAGATTTGTACTAGCAAGTGAGTTGACATGCATATAGACCAACAGTTACCTAGTAGTTATTAATCAGGCTTAGATTGCCACAGTAGGTTGTATTAGCTAGTAGAATATTACACATTAATTACTTAGCAAATTATGAAATAATGACAGGTTGGTGGTTGTTGCTGTATGCTTTGCCAGTATTCATGGAGCAGTTTGTGTGGTAAGAGGTATGGTGGGGGAATCCAGATATGTCAGCGGATGCCTGACAGACTCCGGTCTCCTGATCACACTCATCCGATCCCCTCTGGGCGTCGAGTACAGTCCCTGAAAGCCATTGTCCCCTGGAGTGTCAAATACATATAAGCAAACAGGCGCCAGGCATCCATCATATGTCGGTAGAGGTATGCGTAGTGGGGGGGTCGGTGCTTTTCTGATGGGCAGGATACCTTAGAACCTGCTCGGGGTTGTGGTGGCTTGGAGTAGAGGTATATGCTGGTTAGGGAGCAGGCACTTCTTTTCTGCCTGTGCTGCCGGTCTCGCCGTCGGCGCCTCTTTGCGCCTCTGCGTCCACCCTTGGGGCTTGAGATTACTGGGGGTGCTCGTGCAGGAGTGGTCTGCTTACTTGGTGCGGTGTGCAGCGTACTCTCTGAGATCCTAGCCCAGAAGGCAGCAAAGATTTAGTCGAGTCTGGTCAGAGAGTGAGTCGCCGGATCTCCACAGGCCCCCAAGCCCGCCGACTGGCGCATGGCATCCGCCATATTGGAATTGGTGATCTATGTGTTGATCAGTCTTTGGGGCAAGCTGTATCTGCGGTAGGTATGCTGCTGGTGCCGGGATATCCCTCACCAGTGTGTGGGGGGGAAGAGGGAGGCTCGTGGGTGGTCCTCTGCACCTTTAGGATCCGCTTCTAGGGGGCATCGGGCTGGCCGCCTCGCCCACGTCTTTACCTCTACCAAGGCCACAGTAGGCCTCAGCAATATCTCCCGAGTTCCCGGTGAATTAGTGGCTCACTCGTAGCTTTGTTTTGATCTCCATTGCATCCCCTACATGGGTGGTGCAATTTGGTGGAGTTTGTAGCTTGAGAGCCAGGTTAATTTCACTTTTAATGTAAATTCAGACGGGAGCTCATGCTGCACACATCTGGTCAGCTCCACAGCCAGGCTCTACCACCGACAACCTTCTGACTTACTCCTCTGTAACGCTGGCTAAGGGGCAGACGCTGCTGGCCTCTGCCCACCAAGTACTCACAACTCCATGCCTGGGAGCACAAGGGAAGTCGGGGGTGACGGACACCCAAACAGCAACCTGGGACATACAGTACAGAGCCGGACACCGGAGGTCACCAGGTCAAGTAGCTGTGTATGGGTGGGCTACTCGACTATTTCAGGTGCCGATCAACAGAAGGTCGGGTACCTGGTTAGTCTTCCCTTGGGGGGAAAGAAATGTGATGAACTGAACCTTGTCATGGGTGCTTGGAGGGGCCTGCTGGCTAGCCTCTTTCCAAAATACTATGGGCCAAGTCAACAACTCTAAAGACCCATATTTTATTCCCCCTGGTTCCCTTAGTTCGGCACTTTCCATAGAACTGAACGCTAGCTCCCGGGAAGCTGTTCGCATGGACCAAAACCACGAATAGACTTCAGGGGGACTTAGCCGCGAATTCCCTGGAACTATTTTTGGCATGAAGAATTTGCGGTTCCCGGTCGGTCCCCCAGGGCACTTAGCTGCGTTTCTATGGAACTATTTTCAGCATGAAGACTTCACGGTTCCCGGTCGGTTGCCTGCGGCACTTATCCGTGTTTCTATGGAACCGTTTTGGGCATGGGACAATGCGTGCATGGGACAATGGTAAAAACTATGACTTCCAGGAAATTCCTGAACCCCTGAACTGATCTGGTTGATTTTTGGATATGTTAATCACCCAGATCAGGGCTATCAGGGGATTTTATGTGTTTTAAGGTATTTTGGGGGGGTTGTCAAAATGTGTGTTTTTTGTGTTTAGAGATAATTGAGTTTAGTATAGTGCTTGACTCAATTATCTCCTAAGTAAAGGGGAAGGCTTATTGTATTGTATATGGGAGTGTCATGTATTGTAACACTGTTATTATTGGTCTGTGACTTTGTAACAAAGTTCCCCACAAGGGCCATGTGGGAGTGCCCCTTGCATAGGGATTGTCATAAAAGGCCAAGTATGGCACCATTAAAATCAGTTCCTCTTCACCCTCTTCACCGTCAACACGCAGCCTCATCTCGTGATTGTAGGGAACAGCTATACTGCTAAAACCACTAGCTCTTGTAAGAGCTTCACAGCTATACTCTCTTGGAGGAGAAGTTCACCCACTGGAAGCTGGTCTTGGGTCCACGGTGAGTAGAGGACGGCGAGACCCCAACCAAGCTGCGGTGGTTCATGGGTGTAGCGGAGCTGCAATATTAAATTCCACGATCTCTGCTGGTACAGAAGGTAATCCAAAGTAAAGTGCTAAAAAGTAAGGCAATATCCCAAATCTCCCAGTAACCGTCCGAAACACAGTTTTGGGAATCAACTGAGGTTTTTATTCAGAGGTCACAGTATTTATGCAAGTACACATTGCAGGGGTAACACAGTAGGGGACTACATGGGGGACTTAACAATCTGGACATTTCTCCCATCAGGCACTGCTGGACGAGAGGGATACTCCCACTGTAATATACCGCTAAGTGGATTATCCCTCTGTGCAGCAGAACCAACATTTTACATGAAAATCTATAACTTTGACAATATTTATGTTATTTAGACGAATGGACGTTCGGTTGATAGCTGGGGTCTGAATGCACATTTCGTGAGAATACTGCTCAAATCCCAGCTTAAGCAACCGAACGCCGCACGAAATACACTTTGACATTGGGTTCGCCTAAAAGTACCGAACACCGATGGGTGAACCACAACAGTGAAAGACCGGAGCTCCCGAATGGCCAGGAAGTCCAGCGGTGTTCGCGCCTTTCGAGTAGCCGATTTCGGCTCCACGCGCTCGACGACCAAACACCGCTGGTGAAACAAAGGAGCCAAGATGGCCGACCGCCGCGTGGTTGGTAGCCGAACAATGGCCACCTAGGAAAGCCTTTAACTACCGATTGCAACATTGTTGCAATCGGTTAATGAGTGCCACACGCCTCTCTGTGTGGGCTACTGGGGGGTAGCTCATTCGTTTCACGAACAGCCGGTAAAGTCTTTGTTAGTGAAACGAAATATATGAATGCTAGCGGCTTTCGGCTGCTAGCATATGAATTCTATACACGTAGCAGTACAAACCAATGTTACAACATATAATCCAGCGGTTATTGCAGACAACCTTTTTATACATATAGTTCAGCATCCCACAAGTGGCTATGTTTGCCACAGTGGGGTCCACGGTGCTGATGGTATCTAGTGGAGAGCTTGGAGTCTTCGGTGAACACTTGTAGCATCGATTGGCAGTGGCACCCAGTTGGGGTGCCAGGCGGTCCATCACATTAGTGTTTGAGGGTATCCACTACACCCAGTGTTTGCTGCTCCAGTCTATTCAGTTGTTTCCTTAGTGCTTATCCATTTTTGTGTTTCCCTTTTACAAAATTAATAAGGGTGATGGAAAACCTTAGCTTATGATAGACTAAAAAAACTGCATTTTGAGAAAATGTGTCTCAGTGGGGAACTAATATACAGGATAGTAGAAAATGACATGTGCAATACTTCATTAGCAGGTAATTAACAAACATGAATCCAATCATTTATTTTTTTTTAAAGCAGAGGACACAGATCTTTAAAGTAAGCTCTTACTGAAGTAGTACAATAAAGATGTAAAATTCTCTCCCCAAAGAGGTTGTGTTATCAGATACTGTAGATATTCTGTTTTAAAAAGGCCTCTGAAGTCAAGTACTGTTTTTTTTCCCCCTTATTGTGGTATAATAGGTCATTGCTTTGAATTAGGTTTCCTTCTTTTTGATCAACGGCACAAAAACATGTTGTTTAAATGTTAAAGTTGACTTGAGCGTTTATTTTATCCTCGTTTATTAAGTAACTATATTTTTATCATTTACTTATATTTTTGGAACAGAGCAGATTCCACTGTATAGTTCAATAAAACTGTTCCAGACAGGTTACTGCTTAACAGACATTTTACAAAGTTTCATAGAACACACATATATCTAAATTCTGGTACATAGGACAAAATATGCTATTTCTTTTAGTTTACAATCTAGCAGGAAATGTGGATGACAGAGACAGAAGAGGGCTGTATAAATTAAGCCCAGGGAACAGCTAAGTGGAGTGGGCCTTGACCTAGCTAGGAGACAGGCATATGGATAGGGGGAATTGATTATAGAATAACTAATTCCCCCCTACCTGTTGTTGCAACACGTGGGTGTGAAACTCTCTCTTTTTTTTTCAGAATCATGGATGCGGATCAGGATGTTGAGGCCTTCCTTGCTTGTGTCCGAGCTATGGTGACTGATCATGGGGTTTGCGGAACAGTTTGATGCAACACGGATTCCAGCAGCAGGAGGTTCCCAGCCATTGGGGAGCGCACCTGGGAATAATAGGGCACAGAAAAAGCGGACAGTGGGCCCCAACTTCCATGGGGGTGTCGCTGGGGGGCAACTACAGGACGCAGAGCACACATTAATTGGTTAGTCGGCCCCCCGGTCTGCATGAACTCTAAAGACACAATTGGGTTGGGGGGGCCCTAGCACATCCTGGCTTGTCCCAGGGTTCTACAGTATCACCACAGCAGGTTCCCCCAGCACCCCACCAACTATCCCATACTGCGCAGCGGCCTCAGGTGTCAGGTTGGGACGCTGATACATTTACAGTCACTTCTTATCAAGACAGGGTGCCCCCACGGCAAATAGTCACTGGGGGTGACCCTAGGTTTCCAAGAAAGTGGGTGGATAGGGTTAGGCGCACCTGGGAGCACTTCGCCAGTTCCCCAGGTTCATCAGTAAGTAACAGGGGAGGTGAGCGTGCATCTCACTCCAGTAGCAGCCGTAGGAGCGGACATGACAGCAATAGCAGCGCCTCCCGAAAATCTATTCGACTAACAAGTCACTACGGCTTAACAGTTAGAGCAGCAAGTCCCAGGCGCAGCACTGCCAGATCAATCTACGGGGGCTCCCCAGGTTAGAAGGGAGTCGGGTACTGCCGTATGGGCCAGGACATCAGATTAAGTAGTGTTCAAATGCATTCAGAGACTCAGGGAAAGGCCAGGAGGGTAGGATATTGGGGACGGCCTACCCAGGATGTCTTTGTGGCGAAACCGACCTCGCCACTGGGCATTGGAGAAGACTGATTGCCAGCCTCCTGCCATGTGACTATGGCCCCTGGGATGTATTGCCCTTTTAAAGACATGATTTGGGATTAATGGATTTGTGTTGAGCTGCTGCTGGCCCTTTAAGAACCATCTGGAGACATACTGTGGAGTTACTGGGTGGCCACCATTTCATGTATCAGAGGCATATGAGAACAATGGATGGCGGCCATTTTAACTCACAGACACTGTTTGGACTTTTCTACACGGTGCACGGTGCCATCTTGCCGGTATTTCGTGCACAAAGACATTGTGCAGTAGTTTTAAACTATACAACAGGGGACACATTATACAGTAATTATTTTGCATACAGCCTGTATATGTTCTGCGGAATCTGCATTAAACTGTATCTTCCAAACTACTGAACGGATCTGGGTGAATTTTGGATATGTTTTTCACCCAGATCCCCCGGTTCCGAGGATATACTTTTATGGGGTTATTGCATGTTTTGGGGTCCCTGTGATATGTTTTATAATACTGTATTTCTCTGCCTGTGATAATTATATTAATCATTGTGTTCAGTAATCATATTACAGGCAGAGGGGAGGATTTTGTGTGGGAGTGTCTGTGTGTATTGTATGGATTGATTGGTTGTATTTCAAAACCCTGTGGGCAGTACTATGTTTGGGGAATGTGAATAAAAGAGGCTGTATGTGCCAGTACAGGCAGTTCTGCTTGACCTCAAAACGAAGTGTCGTCTCGTTATTGGGGGAATCGGATTGTATGCTGATTGCCAGGAGTGTAAGCTGATTGTATGCTTTTCCTGTTCAGCTGCTTACAGCATTTGTATGCATCTCCGGTTCGGTGGTTGTGGTGTCTGCTGCAGTGCTTGGAGTCTTCAGGAAGCGCTAGGAGCATCCTTCAACGGAGGTACCCAGTCGGGGGTGCCAGGTGATCCGTTACAGTCTTCTCCTTTTTCAGACATCAAAAACAGGAGGCTGCAGGCCTGCAAGTACTCCAGGACATTGGATCACTTGTGGATACAGCTTGTGACACACGGTGGGAGTCAGGGAGCAGCCCCATGGAGTAGGTTGGCTTGTTTAGTGGGTGGAAGTTCTAGTTCAGGAACAATGGTTTATGTTTGCATTGGTTTGGTAGGTTCAAGCTCGTCGGTAGCTCTGAACCTTGGTGTGTAGCGATATCTCAGTATACCTCTACAAGTGGTTAAGGATGCCCTTGGTGGCTGTGAAAAAGATGCCCTTGGTGGCTGTGGTAACTGTTTGTATCTTATGATAAATGTTGTTTTAAGTTTGCTGTATTTTATGTAGGGGTTATAGTCTGTAAATGTCTCACATTGGAAAATTGCAGGGCTTCAATGTTGTAAGTATGTTTGACTTTGACCCCTTAATTACATTTTATGTTTAAACAAGTATCATTAATAAAAGCTGTGATATTTTCCCAATTAATTATCAGTGTCCGTGTTTAATTAGGGGATGGTCTGATGGTGTTTATTGGGAATATGCCTGGGGACGACTGCGCATGTCAAGTATTGTATAATTCTTTTCTCACCACCAGTACAACACTCTCTATTATGTTTCAATGAAGGATGTAATATCCCTTTGTCACATTTCCAAGGACTAAACTATAACTGTATCCAATTGTCAAGATACATATACTACTAAGGTATTCTTGCCAATATTACAATTAAACAGTTCTTACCAGAGAGAAACTTTAATTAGAAGCTGCCCAATTAAATATTAGAGAAGAACAAAGTAGAAAAGCTACTGTTACAGATTTACAACACATTTATAACACTGAAACATTCCAGCTATCTAATTATATCAGCTCTATTGTGTATGTGCTACGTAGTGGGTGTGAGATTTACAAACCTAGTCTAATGTGTTCCAAGTATGCTGTATAGTTAAAGGAAATTGTTTTTGATATGGTAAATAGCTGGTTTAATATGTAAATTAGATTTTCTTTTCCAAGGCACAAAGTGCTGTCCATCCTCTCATTGTATTTTCCCAAGGATGCAGCTGTGCCTTTAAGGTTCTATTGCCTTCCTTCTTTGCCAAGATAAGATTTTCTAAACAGATAACCCTTTGAAGACTAAGTGGTATGTAAATGTGAATTACTTTTCCAAGGTACAAAGCTTTGTCCCTCTTGTCTCTTTATTTACTTATGCCTTCCAGATGCTCTATCTAGTTTAAGATCCCCCTTTTTGATGTGTATGTTCCCTTATTTCCCATCATACGCCCATACACACACTAACATAAGAAAGCACATATTATTATTAAAAAAAATACTCATGCGAGATTCAAATTGTAGCAGAACATTGCAAAGAATTTCGCAGGCTAGCCTCTTACCCAGAAACTATGGACTCTTTTTGAGTGAAATCACCCTCCAGCTCTGAAAGGTTAAACTATCCAGTACAAACATTTGGGCATGTGTATTTAACAGCTTAATCACCAAGGACACCATAAAAACCATCAGCTGGGATGTTAAGGGTTAATCTCACCTGATACCTTAAGGGTTAGCTATGTCAAAAACAAACCAATGTGGACAATAAAAGGTTAAGGTTGTGTGGGGCTGGTGCAGTTTACAAAGGAATACTGTATTTGGTATGGCAGGATTGAAATAGGTAATTGAGTGCTTGTTTTATGGTTTAAAATGCCATTCCTCATCTCATGGTTCTCTGACAGTGTAAGTCTTGTCAGTGTGCCTGACCGCAAGTCAGGGGCAGATTCAGAAACCTAATCTCGGGAGGGCACTGGTAGGAACAATCCAGGCACAATAACCACTACAGCCCATGGTAATGGTGCCAGTAATGCCGTGTCACACTCTCAGAGTAAGTAGTCAAACCATTTAAGAACAGTTTGACACCTTACCTAGAATCTGTTAGGATAGAAGCTGTAGTAAGGGAAAGGGACTTGAGTAGGGGATATAGTAGTGTGTGTGTGTGACGTGTGGGGGGCAATGTGTGTGAGGGGTGTGGTGTGTGTGTGTGTGAGGGGGTGCATTGTGTGTGTGTGTGTGAATGAGGGGTGCAGTGTTTGTGTGTGTGTGTGTGCGTGAAGGGCACAGTGTGTCTGAGAGGTGCAGTGTGTGTATATGGGCTGCAGTGTGTGTGTATGTGGGTGCAGTGTGTAGATGTGTAGGGAGTTATTGTGTGGGGGTGGGGGTGGGGGTGGGCAGATCCATATAAATATATCTTTTTCTAAATATATCTAAATTTATATATCTAAATAAATATATCCATTATATATATATAAGTTTTGATTTTTTTGTATTAAAAATAAATGTACTTTACATCCCCCCTCCCTTCTTCCCTTTGTCCAGGGAGGGGGTATATTACGTCAAATCCCTGGTGGTCCGGTGGAGAATCCCTGGCGGTTCTAGCAGTGAGTGAACTCCAGCCGGCAGCTCAGGCTAGAGTTCTCTCTCGCGAGATCCGGAGCATTGCCACGGTAACCGCGACAACGCTCCGTTCTTGCATGAGAAGCACCTGGAGGAGCTGCAGGCTGAGCTCCCGGGTCCTCTCTCCCTCCCCTGCCGAATGCCAGCAAAGTGCCAGCGGACAGGTGAGGGAGATCACTGATCTCCCCTCCAGTCCATGAAGGCACACAGAGAGCTTTCGTCTCTTTACTATTTTCTCGGGAGGGGAGGGGTGGGGTAATTGCCCTGTTTCCCCTCCCTGGATGCACCAGTGCTGCAAGTGCATCTTTACCTGCAGAGCCTCCTTGCATATAGCAATCGTTGTGCCGGAGCATTACCAAGTTTCTGCAGATAAATCTGCCCGTGCATGAGGCGACAAACTAGCTAATAATTTTGAGTACCCACTAAAGTTATGTTATTGGGGTGCAGATTACCATATACTTAGGTGTATTTCCCCTGTTAGGGGCTTCGTTATGGTTCCAATTTATTGTTTAGCTGTACTTTTGTTTATTGGATAATTTATCCTCACATAGAATGCCCTACATTTATTGTTGCATGGAATGGCTACATGTACGTTACATAATGTCAGATTAATTTATACCACTAGTTTAGTTCTGGTAGTGTAATACTTAACTTCTTTTATTACAGTAATACAACAGACCAGACGTCAACAATATTAACTATGCAATTGTTTATTATAAAGTATATGTTGTTTGTCACGCATATATTTTCAATGTTCGCCATGTAGGTTCAAGTGTGGCTAGTGGTTTTTCCGCCTTGTCACATGCACAGTATTTATTCATCATTATGACTCTTTTTCAGGTATTAAAAGTTGGACCCTTTGCAGGTCTCCCAAAGGTTGCTGTTCCCAAGTGTTCCAGGTACTTTTTAGTTTGTTTTAATACGTTAGTCCTATTAATCAAAGACATCACTCAGCCTTTTTGCTAATACTGGGTATGCATTATTATTATTATGCATTAAACCCACACGTCTACATGTTTATTCATCCCTTATCCCTGGGTTAACGAGGGGCTTGTTTCTTTATGCTTGACCCTTGTATGGTCAACAATGACCATTCGTTCAAACGTACCAACTTTAATATAATGTTTATGTCCATTTACATTCTTAATATCCAACGGGATATTTACTTTCTCTCATGTAATCCGTTACTTCTGTTTAAAGGTGTTTCTCCACCAATAGGCGAATAGGATACAGGGATTTGTGGTCCTACGCCACTCCTGTATACTGGATTCTCTTTCTTTTACACTTTGGTTATAGATTTTATATACTTATACGTATCACTATTACTCATAGGTCACAGTCAGGCTCTTCATTTTCTATTCAAGTTACGCTCAAGTCCATTCATTAAGGGTGTGTGAAGTTCCATCCTTCTGGTCACTGTGTTTCCTTTCTGTTCCTGAAACACAGTTAATTGTTGTATTTACTTCAAAAGGTGCCCACTTATTACAGTTCTTCCCTCTGAATCTATCTTGTCTACCAAGCTACGTACGTTAACCAATTACGCTCAGTACAACAGGAGTCAAGCCCTCATCTAGGGAAAGAGAACTGGCTGCGAGGTTCAGATGCTGGCCCTTGTCTAGTATAATTTAATCTTACGATTCAGCGAGGCCAACTCCCCACTTCACCACAGACTTTTCGTACAAATGGCCCACGTCATAGTTATAGCCTCGCATGCCCTTCTACAGGGTCATAGTCAGAGCATCACATGTCACGACCATAGGCATGCGCACAGGGTGTGCCAGGTGTGCCTGGGGCAGACTGACCAGGTCCATAACCAAGGACCTGACACTGGGAGGAGGCCCGGCAGCTTGCCCTCTATGCCGCCGAGTGAGAGGCCCCTCCGTACAGTCTGCCCAAGGAATGCTGCCAGCCTATGATCACGGCCAGACTTTTTACTTGTCATCGAGAGGCCATCACCCCACCACTTCACATTGTGGTCACGAGTCCCCTCTACCCAAATCATTGATAGAGCTACTCACCGCCACTTGGCAACTAGGAGGGCCTCACCTGTCATGGGGTAATTAATATTTTTGCCTGCCAGCACTAGTTAGCAAGCCAGTTCTGTATGTGATATATTATTGCTCACCCAAGTTGGCATTTGCGTTTTTACTCATTACATTTTTCTATAGAATGTCGCAAGAATTAGGTCAAGGAGAGGAACTGTCACTGTAGCACTCCAGCAAGGGCCTACACCCTAGTCATATAGAATTACTTGTCCCCGCTACTCCTGGGTCCAGGGTTGTCTTTAACGCAGGGCAAAAGGAGCAACTGCCCCGGGCCCAGTTACTTCTGTTGGGCCAGAAGCAGCTGCTCCATGAGCTCCGCTGGCCTCCACCATTTCTTCACTGGCCTCCACCATTTATTCACCCCCCATAGGCCTGCCGGTACAGCCGGTAACCCGCACACTGAGGCCCACCGGGTGGCTAATGCACTAGAGGCCATCCGGTGGGCTTCTGTCAACAGCGCGACCAAGTCCCTTGCTTTTCGGGAGCATGGGAGGAAGTGACGGCCGCAAGTCACTATGTGTCTGTATATCCGTGTGTGTATCTATATGTTGTCATTGTGTGTATCTGTGTGTGTATGTGTCAGTGTGTATAAATGTGTATGTATCTGTTTAACTGCATGTGTATTGGTGTTTGTATCTGTGTGCAGGGTCGCCATCAGGGCATGGCGGGCCCGGACTTCACAGGGTGTCCCGGGACCCACATTACCTATGTGCATATATATATATAGAGAGAGATTTTTGCTATATATATGTGCATCTGCAGGCCCCC